AGACGAAGAGCTCTTGTTTGAGAAAGGAGCCGAGATCAGCCTCCTCCTCAGTTTGCGAGAGCGAGGAGATGAAGGTGCACCATTGGTAGGCCGTGGGACCGACAGCAACTGACCAATGAGATGACAGGCCGCCTTGGGGAGATTCGCGATAGAGTCGAAGGTCTAGGAAGGAACGGAAGCAACAGCGGGGGGAGTGAGATGAGACAAGACGTCGGCAAACACTAGATGTAGCTTCCAAAATCGCTTTTGCGTGGTGCTAGTACATCTGTCTTTGTCCCCATCCGGCACGCGCAGCTGCTGGGGGAAGGCGTGCTAGTGTTCGAAAAGGTAGGTAGTGTCTTACACAAGTACGCACGCACCTGCCCACCCCTCGCCTACCACGCCAATTGGATTAGGTCCGAGGCGGACGCGAAGGCTTCTGAATGTACGCACACAAGCGTGCACAAAGGTGCTGTATGCGCGAGCCTCGGGGCTGCCAGAGAAACCGCTGTTCAAAAGCCTGCTAGCCGGATGTCCGGCCAGAGGTAACTTAAAAGCAGGCACGCGGCTGAAAAGCGCAAAGTGATAAGCAACTGTTGTCTACAAGTTGGCAGGGACAAATCTCGCGCAAGAGTTGCTCTAGTTTGCGGGTTGGTAAACTTCCATCAAAGTCGCATGATAAACAACAACAACTCATATACAGAGATAAAGGTGGCTTGAATTTAAATAGAATACAGTCAACGCTCTGCCAACTGAACTACGAGGCTCACCGGGAGCTGTGCATTTAGGCCCACCTGGGTCGATTTACCTGCCGAGCCTACTACAAGTATGGAATCCACCAATACTGATACAGTAAGCTGACTGCCCAGGTAGGATTTCCTAAGCAATCAATTGAGAATCCACCATAATGATAACGGGGACATTTAATTATTAGGTGGCAGATCTGAATAATTCAATTGAACGAATTGTGAAAAATTCGCGGCATCGGTGGGGTTCAATTCACGGTTCCCGGTAAGCCGCATAGCTCAGTTAGCAGAGCGTTGGCTGTACTCAAGCCTTTAAGCAGAATGACCGTCGTTGCATTGGCAATATATTAAGTGGAGACGAGTTGGGGCGCAGTGATCACCTGGGCATCTCATCCAGGTTCGCGCGTCCTTCCAACTTTAATTCAGATACCTCGACAGTCATATAAATCAGAAATAGCTAACTGCCAACTTTGAGAGTTGGACAGTTTATAGTTACGTCTCACTTTCCCCCGAAAATGTCTGCAGACCACCTACAGTAGGGGATAAGCAGAATCAGCTGTTTGAGTGTAGTGAAGAGAATTTGCAAAATGTGACCGTTGAGTACGCGCGTGCGTGCGTGCGTGCGCACGAAAACAGGAATGTCGGCCTTCTGTCCTCATTTGAATTTACTCCTATGCTAACCACTGACTTCGAAACGTTTATCCTTAGGTGGGTTGCAATTTAGCCCAGATCGAAACACAAATCTCTTTCCCTTTCAGTCTTATACGCCGTTTTCATTTATTCTAATCACATCAGTGGCTTTGTATAACACTGACAGAAGGGCCAACCAATTGGGCTGAACGGCTACTTCAGAAGAGGGCGCGAGAATATATATAAACGTAGGACTTGACAAAAAGTGATTTACCTGCGCACCTGCGGAACACGGGAATCAGAAACATTACGAAGATAAATAATGCAGTCGTTTATTTACGAAGTAAATCTGATGCACTTACTACATACCGTCACACACGAAGGTTATGCACGCAAATATACCACAGCGAGGATTTAAGTCATTTTATAGCATGCAATTAGACTAGAACTAGAACTAGACTAGACTAGATTAGAACCCTTAACTATCAACCTATTTTTGTAGCAAACCTGTAACATTCAAGCACCCGTTTTTAAATTGCGAATTTTTATACCTATTTTACGTATCAAAAAAAATCCAATGAATACAACAGTGTTTATTTTTTTGTTAGGCTAGAAGATAGCAAACACAAATGAAGCGAATAGACTGACTTCAAAAATGGCCATGCAACATGAATAACAGTTTGCATTTGGATGACAACCAGATCCAGAGGCATATACCCGGCTTTCGGTATGGCCTTTGCCGTGCCGTTCATTGAACTATCGTCAATGAAGAGTTATTTTGTTTGTAGTTCTGGGTCTAAGGCCCTCAAAAACAATAACATGACAAGGAGCAGTCAATAATGGAGACTTTACCGAAGTGTCACAACAGAAACCACATTGGAACACTCTGTGATCCACAACGACCAGTCGATTCCTCCGTATTGGTGTGGCGCGGCCTGACTCATCGAATGAACACGTGCCTGCGCTTTTAGTTTGTACTAGTGTTGGTGGTGGGAGGTGAGAATCCACTAGACTAGCGAGAAAAAACGCAGGAGCAATGACGAGGACGAGCTGCTGTTGTTGGTAGGGAAACGTGGTATCGACATATTCCGACTGCAGGTCTGGTTAGCCTGGGGTCTAACCCGGACCTGAGTTAAGCATTTTGACACTAGGTCACGAGATCGCCCTGTTAGATGCGATCGGAAATATTTTCATGAGAATGGCGTTTCACCGACCTGATTGTACTAAGGAACATGCTCGACTCTTTTCGACCAGGAACTCAACCCAGAGCCAACGCAAAAGATACCCTGCCAACACGGCCGCGCCCAGTTGGTGTGGCCAGACTAGGCCAAACGCGGCCATGGCCATGCCTGTTTTACAG